TGCCTTCTTGTTTCTTTAATGATTTTTTATTAAGGTGAAGCACCAAAATGATTAAAGACATTTTGGGCAGTTACAGTCACCGATGTACAAGTCTCTCAGCTAATAGATAATTAAGCCATGCTAATTGTGGGGAATGAATGATGATAAATCACTGCTAATATTTAAATTGCATATTCCCAAAAATATAATGCAAGAGAAATAAAATATTGTTTTTTTTAACTTGATAAATTACTCTGCTTTCACCTAGATATGACTGTGCAGAGGCAGTTAATGTTTTCACTACCTGCTTATCCATAGCTTTACAGTGCTGGCAGAACTAAGGATTTAAAGTTTTACAAACTCCCCCAAGGGTACTTATCTGAAACTACCACCTAATTTGGACTAACCAGCAATTATTATTTAAAACATGTGCAATGGAATAAGCTCTTATCATTTATGTGCGCCTTAGGACATCTTTAAGAATGTATTATTTTATATGAAGCTTTTGTTGTTTAATAATATTGCAAACATAGGTTACACAGTCATACAGTATACAGTTTTCCACAATGTAATCTATGTTTCCTTGTAAAATCCTGTCTGTTTGCTTCAGTTGAGTGTTATGTGGATTGTTATTTTTAAGATTATTTGATTTATACATTTCTAGGTAGGGTGGAAGGTCTGAGCAGTATTCCATTCTCTGAAAAAATACCTAGAGCCTTTCCCTTGACTCCTACCATTCAATAAATCCATACAAGGAATAAACTACTGTAACCTGGCATCATTTTCAACTTTAGACATCTGTGAAATATTAGAAAGTTAATGACTGGTAGTTGGGTAGAAAGTAATGCTCAATCTATGATGCTGCATAACATCTTAGCTCATAGAAAACTCCAAACTTTGAACTTTTCTTCAATAATAAGTCCACGTTTAGGGGAAGTTTCCTTGCAAAGGCGATTTGTAATTGCTATTTGTGCCACATTCAAAATTTAGTTAAATTCTCAGGTTTTCAATCAAAACCAATCTGGCTTCCGTCAACTTCACAGCACAGAAACCGCCCTAGTCAAAGTCACCAACGATCTCCTGATAGCTTCTGATTCTGGTTCTCTTTCCATACTCATCCTTCTTGATCTCAGTGCTGCCTTTGACACTGTTGACCATAACATCTTACTTTCTCATCTCAAGACTGTGTTTGGAGTCTCTGACACTGCCCTCAAATGTTTTAAGTCTTACCTCACTGATCGCTGTCACTTTGTATCTCTCAATGGGTACAGGTCTGAAATTGGTCTTGTCAAGTCTGGTGTCCCCCAGGGCTCAATACTGGGCCCCTTGCTCTTCAGCATTTACATGTTCCCACTTGGTCAGCTTTTAAGATCACATGGCCTCAGCTTTCATTTTTACGCTGAAGATACTCGAATATACATTCATACCAAACCCGACACTGATGTGGCTGTCTCTATTCTATCTAGTTGCATCTCTGACATAAAAATTTGGATGACTCAAAACTTCCCTCATCTAAACTGTGACAAGACTGAAGTCATGCTTATTGGTACCCCCCATCAACTTCGTAAAGCCGTCCTGTAACCCTGTCTGTAGATGGCTCTGTACTTGAGCTTCAATCAAAATTGAAAAACCTTGGGGTTATATTCGATTCTGGCTTAACATTCGACCCACATGTACAGCATACTGTCAAAACATCTTTATTTCACCTTAGTAATATCGCAAGACTACGCCCTATGCTATCTTTAACTGTGGCTGAAAAGCTGATCAACATATTTGTATTCTCGCGAATTGACTACTGCAATGCTCTACTCCCTGGGGTATCTAAATCTACTCTGAACAAGCTGCAGTATGTCCAAAATTCAGCAGCCAGAATCCTGACCAGGTCTAGTGCAAGTGTTCACATTACTCCTATCCTGGAGTCCTTGCACTGGCTTCCGGTCAAATTCCGCGTAGACTTTAAAATCCTCATGCTCACCTATAAGGCTTTGCATGGCTTGGAACCTCAATACCTGTCTGAACTTTTATCGCCCTACTCCCCACCTCGCAACCTCCGCTCTTCAAATTCTGCCCTCCTTACTGTCCCCCAAGTACATTGTATGGGCGACAGGGCCTTCTCCTGCTATGCCCCCAAGCTCTGGAACTCTTCGCCCAAGGATATTAGAGAGTCACCTTCTCTAAACTCCTTCAAATCTAGACTCAAAACCTTCTTCTTCAGAAAAGCCTTTACTTAAGTGGTTCCATTCTTCACCCCTCTGCTCTTCTTAATACCACCTTCCACAGTCTCCTCTATTGTTATTGTTGTATTGTTGTAATTATAATTGTGTCCTATCTTGTGAAATCTTCTTAATTATTGTTGTAGTCTTCTTATTTATTGTTATTGTCATCCTGTAAAGCACTTTGAGAAGCCACCTTTAAAGGCGCTATATAAAATAAAGTTTATTATTATTATTATTAAAACCTTAGCTGTAACAGCCATTTATTACTGTAGGCTGCTCTAAGGTCTGCTGGCGTTATTTTCAGGTTTTTTTTGCGATATCAGTGCATGACATGCAATGATAATATGTTGTAAAGAATTGCAATATTCTGCCATTACTGAAAAGAGTCACTGAGTGGTCAAATCTGTAGAAGAAAGTACTTCTATCTGACTCAATAACAGTGTAGATTAAAAAAATTCCAAAGGTTCAAATTGCGATTAAAATTGTCAGCTCATCATTATCTCATTATTCCAGTTGAATTATAATTCCTTGGGTTTAAATGATTGTTTTATTCCTGGTTAACTTTACTATCTTCTGAATATCCTCCTGTGCACATTTTGACTGTTGAGGTTTATTGGAAATGTAATGCTTACAAGAACCAATTTGAAAAGTAGTGTATCAAACTATATTTAACAAATCATATTTATAATCTTTTTGTAAATATCAGGACATATAGCAAAAAGTCTCACCAGAAAAAGAAATGGTATATTCATAGCTCCTGGTAAGACAATGGAGAAGATAGAAAAGTGAGCTGTGGCAACAGTTTGTGGAATTCAAATAACTACAGTATGAGAAATTAGGCAAAGAAAGCTGAATTTTTCTATTCAAGAATATATTATTTTAGAAATAGAGCCTGTGTAAACCTTGTTCTCTTTTGGGACACTTAGGAAAATGTGTCTATCCTTAAATCCTGTTTTTGACACACAGAGGTAAATAGTGTGTGAGAAAAACCATAAGTACTCCTGAGCACTTCACTATAATGCAATAGCATATCCCCATCATCATCACCTCTTAATACTGAAATGTAATTATACTTTAGTTACACTGTTGGAATTGGCATATTTTAACCATATACTCAAATTAATGTTGTTATGAATCAATTATTAATGTTACTAAAATATCGATATATATATATTTGTTAAATTAATTAAATTTTAGATAAACGAAATAAGAGTTGCACAAACACATCTGGTCAGTATGACAAAGCCTTGCAACTCTAGTACCAAGTAAACGAGAAACAAGACGTGTAATAGATTATAAAAATAGGTAATGTACTTATAAAAACAAAGACTTGCATAACAAAGACATGTCATACCAAAGATATGATAGGAAAGATAATGAAATGCTTTATTCTGAAGTTACATTTACCAACAATATGACAGAACTGATCAATAAATTGGAAAAGTGAATACTGTACGCAGGTAATGCTTAAGTAATAACTGGACATTCTACAGTGACAAACACTAATGCCAAAAGCATGGGAAATGTAAAATATCATATAAACATTGAAATTTAACTTACCTCAGAAAACAACCCCTGCAGTTCTTTGGAATGATCCAGCTTCACGAAACTACACACCTGTTCTGAAAGCACAGGAAATGCACTTTTCCTCAAGGTTTTGCTCAGTAATTCTCTGTTGATATCCTGACTAAAATTTAAGTTTTTTTTGTCCGTTGAGCTTGTCTTTCTCTTGTGTCATTATTGGAAACAGATGAATAATAAATTATAGATAGACCAAATAATCAAGCTAAAAAAATTGATAAATCTCCCTTCTCCTAACAGCAACCTAACTGCTACACTCAAAACTTGTAGTTACATGACATTCAGAAGTGATAATTAGTCTTTGTATCCATCTATTTTCTAACTAATGTATCCAATACAGGGTCGTCGGAGAGCATCAGTTTCAAGGCAGGATACACCCTGGGTAGGACAACAGTCCATCACAGGGTGCAAACAGACACAGACATGTACACTCTCATACCAGGGCGGGCCAATTTTTTCAGAAACCAATTATCTTACCAGTGTGTCTTTGGACTGTGGGAGGAAACTGGAGCTCCTGGAGGAAACCCATGACAACACAGGGAGAAGACAGAAACTCCACAAAAATATACTAGCACCCCAGGTTTGGAATTGAACCCAGGGCTCCAGTGCTGTGAGGCAGAAATACTAACCACTGCTCCAGCATATACATTAAATGAACATTAATTTAAATATATCATATTAGACACCAGCAAATCTATTATATGAAAACAGAAAAAAATAAAATTTAATAGGACATTAATTAATAGAACACTAATAGAATATTATATTTTTCACATTTATAAGCCTCAACATCTAGCCAAAGAATACAGTGGTATTTTCTACCTAGTAAAAGCCATTTCCCATCATAATCTTTAATGCATCACAGACAGTGAATGCAAATGAGGAAAAAGGGGATATTTTGATGGCATTGCCTGTGTTGGTAATGTAACCCCCACATTAGTATTGTCATTAGTCAACCATATATATAAATCAGAAAAAAGGACAATAAGACGATTACAGATTTTTACCACTATGGTTACATATTTGTTTTTATGAATAGCTCCCTCTGTAGCCGGACGTGTATAACTCTCCAAGGCATATTCCATTGCTCAGACCTTTATAATTGCTGAAATGGAAAAAAAATTCTAGTGCTAAATTCAGACTTCATTTGTTTTTGTAGTTTTACAGCTATTTTTTTCAAAGTGGGTTTTGTAATTGATTAATGTTCTCTGTCTGGTTCTGCAGGATGCTAGAGGATGATCTCAAACTCAGCAGTGATGAAGAGGACAGTGAGCAGGTACATCTCCATGTGATAAATCAAGGATTTTTTAAGTCAAATTTAATGTTTGTCTGAGTGTGTATGTGTCTTTTCTTTATGTATAAATCCTAGCAGTCATAAAAAGCTGCAACTGTACAAGTATTTTAATGGGACTTTCCAAATGATGGCTTCTGATTGTGATGATCAGCATTGGAATGGAACTCATGACTCTGTGGTTGGCTTTATATCATTCACATTAAAATAAACGTGTGCCTTGTACAATAATATTATTTAACAGTGTTAATCAAAAATGTTGTATGCTCTATACACTGTATATTACATTTGTTTTAAACTTTATTCCCAGAATTAAATCTGTCAAGGAAGGATCACAATAGTACCATAACTTTATCCAAGACCATTGTGTACCTTATGCTTATGCTGTTGTTCTTTTCATTTTGTTAATAATTCTGATATGTGTTTTATGACCACATAATATACAACAGAAAACATGTGCTGTGTAGCAGTCTTGCTGAAATGAGAATAAGTTCTCAATACATTGACCAATATTACAATGAAATATCTGAGTAAGCAAGCAATCAAAAACTCTGACAAATATTCTGATAATTTGTAGAAATATGATAGGATATGGAAAATAAAGACATACCTGCTAACAATAACCATCATGGTATGTAGTGAATGTTTATCACAATCAAAAATGACACTCTGGCTTTTCATGACAAAGATTTTAGTCTATGGGAGCAACAAGCATGAAGTTGCTTTTATACATAATCAATAACATCTTGTCGAGACAGTTTCAGAAACAGTCCATTTTTATATGCATCAGTATGAAGGAGGTACTGTAAACTGTCAAAAATTGTTGGCTTGCTATAAGGAAACAAGATGTATAGCACTTCTTATAGAGCTATGATGGCGTGTACACTAATAAATAACTGAGCCTTAAAATAACATGTTTCTCTTTATGTCAAAAAATGTCACAGTGTGTTTTTTAGCTTTTTCATGCATCGCTTTTTTCTTGCTGTGACCTTGCCACATACTTATTATGGCTGGTCTATACAGTATTTATCTTCTGGTCCTGTTTTTTCCACTCATAGTATATTATAACATAACACTCATTATAAAACATTCTAACACTCATAACATATTTGGGTTACACTTATTTGAGCTCAATACAGTACTTTTTACATATTTTATCTGTTCATTTTTAACAGTGTGTTGCTGAATTTCTTAAATGGATTAATGTCATTCTGTGTATAGTCTGGTCATGTACAGTAGGTTTTTAAAATAGAATCAGAGTAGTTTAATGATCTCTTGTTAATAACTACTTTTGCATTACTTATACTGTACACACTAAATTTACTATTTTTACTTAATTTAAAAGATTATAAAACACTAAAAAATAATAGTTGCACTTCTTATTGTTAAATTCATTGCAGCTGCAAATAATATAAATAAACAACATAAACATCAACAGGCATTTAAGGTATAATTGTGTGAACAGATTTTTTTAATTCATTAAGAAAGGTGTATCATCTAGCAGACTGAGCAATATCTTTCAGTGCACATTTAAATGTGACAGAACCTTTGTAGTCAGACTAAAACCAAGTTACATGTTACAAATTACACTTACATGTTGTATGTACTATATGTTGAAAGTTTGTAGGAAAATGTCTTGTCTGGTAGAGTTCTAAACATTGAATTGTGTTTTGTCTTTGCTATATGACTGCTATATATCATTGTAGCTGAAATTGCACTTTGATTTTCGATCAGACCAGCATATCTATATTACCCTCAAAAATATTTCAGAGTTCTGCTTAAACTGTACACATTGATTTCTACCTACATTTATGCTTACAGTGCATTCTTTGGTTACAAAAGCTGAGAAATGAAATCAAAATAGCAAATGCCTCCCTGTAGGAACAGGACAGAGAACTAACACACAGAATTCAGGCACATTATACACCCCTTCCATTTCCCCACTCTACAAACAATAATTGATAGAGATTTAAACTTTATTTAAACCTGGCCTTATTTAGTTCTGAAAATATTTAATCAGCATGTCTCTGATACAGTTTCACAAGTTCCACAACATGTGACTTGTGCAGTTGAGAGTATACTGTGATACATATAATTTAGAGGGGAGGAAGGGGTTTGTAAGAATAATTTTGCTGCCATGTCAAGTTTCTGCATAGTCCATGCATAGTGTTGTATCCAAAGAAATTATCATCATGTCATTTATTTCAGTTCTACCTTACTATATTGTTTGTGAACAACTTAATATTGCCTGTTCAGTTATGGCAGTGGAAAGAGACCTTAGTTTAGTCTCATTCAAATCATGTTAGGCTGCTACAACACTCATGGCATCAAGATGCATTGTGCCTATAATTTATGCATTTGTTGTATCCATAATTTAAGTATTCTGTTTTTTGTGCAAAAACACTTTTTGAACAAGTAACTCTTTTTAAATTAAACAACACTCTTAAGTAACTTTCTAATAATAATCAGGATTATGTTAATGGCAATGATTACTGCACAGTGTGAACATTAAGTAGAGCTATCCTGATTATTGTTATTTGCTTAGTAGATGCCCTTACCCAGGGTGACAAATATAATACTGAATACAGTCCAAAAAATACAAAAAAGAAATAATTCAAAAATACATGAAATGCAAATAATGAGAAAAGCAAACAGTGCATAGCAGTGCAGAGTGAGAACAATGTACATCACACAGTAAGCAATGGGTACGTAAGGAATCATCGATTACAGTAAAAAAAGAATGAGCCATTGAGCACATTGCTGTATTGGTTGGTGGTAAAAGTACATTAGCGCAAGAGAAAGCACTGGTTACTGGAAACGGTCCTGCATTTTTGGAGAATCCCACTTAGAAAACATATTATTCAGCAGTAAAAGCATGTTCAGCTGATGTTTTATCCATTGTCAATTATTGTCAATCAATCAATCGGCTATATTCTGAGTGCCTTTCAATCCAGCCCATTCCCAATTATTATTATTATTATTATTCAAATTATTATGTCATGTTATACAATTATTATGTCAAAGCACTGGTGTTGATGCATATGGGTTTATATGTCAATGGATCCCTTTATTGTCCAGATTGAATAGATCACTGGTTCAGCAGGGAAAAATAATAGTTTTGCCATTTGATGATATTTTTAAAATGTGGACTGACATTAAATGACATAACTTGTTAAGGAAAAGTAGATAATGCGTATTGCAGCAATGTGGAAGATGACTGAGGAGCCATTTTATCTGATGTGTTAAACCCTATGTAATCAAAACCTAATCTTTGAAAGAGAACACTACTGTGAGTTGATTTAAAATAAATGACAAAGCAGCCTTTTACTTTTTTATTTACTGATGCAGGAGACGCAATATACCCACTAACAGTTCGATTAGGAAAAGGGATTTAGCTCCTAATATACTGCAATAGTTAAATTTAGGCAAAGGTACTGTATACGACCAAGAAACTGTTATCAATTCTGATACTAAGTGAACCACCCACTGAGTATCTAATGAAGAGTAATGAAGCCAAAGACAGCATGTAAAAATATAATCTTGGTATTTAAGATTAACTTTATATGAAACATTGTGAACCTGGCAGCAACATTAAGAACTTGTAGCATTATCTCAGAAGCTTTTCTAATTTTTTTTCAGAGGGAGCTTCTTCAAAATTAGTTTCCCATTTTGTATTTAGTTTTTGCTACATGCATGATATCTTGTGCTCTTGTCTACTGTACATTACATGTCATTATCCAGGTGTTTGCCCTGTTTTGAATCCTATCTAGGTCATTTTTACATATAATTTACTGCTCCTAGAGTGTTTACTAATCCTCCTTTGGTATCATTTGGAAACTCAACTATTTAACTAACCAGGATTTATACTGTATCATCGAATATTAGGAAGAGCAGTGATCCTAATACAGATCCCTGTGGTACTGCCCTAATAACGAAACCTCAGATGTAGAATTCTCCCCATATTTCTACTTTCTGTTTCCTATGCTTGATCCAAATTGCAGTTCAAACAGATGCATTTCTTCTGAATTCTGAATATTTTTAAGAGTAAGGTTGTTAACCCCTAGTGTCGTGGTTAAATGCCACTTTAGAATCACTCAGTCTGGCCTACCTGAATTTCCTCCTTAATTCAAGTGGTGAAGTAATTTCTTTCACCCCCTTCTGATCTGCTGTATAATATTTTTCAAAGAAGCTTTACATAGCTCCCATCTCACTTTCTGATCTCAAAGTTAATAATATTTAAATAAATGTAATAATATTTAAAGAATTCCCTTAAATGTATTATTATTATTATTATTATTATTATTATTATTATTATTATTCCTTACACTTTTACGCATTAATGCTTTTCTGGACACTCCACCTAAAGCACTACACTTAAAACACCACCAATGATGCACCAGAACGCTCACCACTCACCAGCTATCAGAGGGGAGGAGAACAAAGTGATGATGCCAATTCATAGATGTGGATTATAAGAAGACCACGACTGGTAAAAGGCAATGGGAAATTTGTCCAAGACACCAGAGTTAACAAACCTACTCTTTTCGAGGCTTTTCAATTACCACTCAGAGTCAGGACCTCGGTTTTACCTACTGTCAACCAAAGGACAGTGCCTTTCTGACAGTATGGTGTCTCATCACTATACTGGGGCATTAGGACCCACACATACTGCAGGGATAGCGTCCCGTACTGGTCCCACTAAGAACATTTCCTGCAGCAACCTTAGCTTTTCCCAAGAGGTCTCCCATCTAGGTACTGGCCAGGCTCACACCTCTGAGCTTCAGTGGGTTGCCAATTGTGAGCTGCAGGGTGATATAAGTGCTGGCTAAATTTGAAATAGTCACAGTATGAAAAACAAATAATAAAGAAAATAATTTCTGACAGTTTTGTTAGATAAATAGGTATAAGCAAGCAAACAAACTAGATGGGGTATTCTTGTTTGTAACCTTAGTTCTTATATTAAATTCTTAACATCTTAACATTCTTAACACTCTTTAAGTTCTTAACAATCTTACATCACATCTGTATATAAACTATTATTTCATTTGGTATTCGTGACAAACTATTTGATTTGATATTTGTGGAAAGGTTCAGTCAAAGCTGCTTAGTCTGTCACATCTTGGATACCTAAAAAACAACAAAAAAATAGCAGAACCCCATCATCTCCCTTCAGAAAATGCCCTGTTAAAACATTTAAAATCTCCAACCTTTTAAACAGTTTGGGTGAGTATGCTTACCATACTGGCAGCAATCCCCCCCCTCAGCCGCGTTGCCTAGCAACATGTGAATTCAAGAAGGATCGAAGAAGCTAAAATCCCTGTGGAGAGGGAAACAGCAATAAGAGTGCCGTTGACAGATGATCTGAGTTGTTTCATCTAATATACTGTGAAGATCACTGGCTCCTTTCATGAATGATAAATGGACTGTACACAGATCAATGGCCACAGCAATAACCTGGAACCAGGCTCCATAGCTCTAGCGGAGCAGGCTCTTTGACCAACAGGTCCACTATTTCAGAAGTTGTTCACATAGACTTTTCTCTTTGTATGTTTTTATATTCAGGTTTCAATAAATAAATAAGGAGCTGACACTCTTGAGTAATATATATATACACAGATAAGCATTAAAAATGCAACAGATGAGTATTCTTGCATTTTTAATGTCCATCAATACATACATAATATTTGTTTTTTAACCACAAAAGGAATATTAGTAGTATGTTCTTTCAGTGACTTGTAAACTGACTGAAAACGGCTTAGTTATGCTGATAACTGTATACATTTCTAACAATCATTTACACTGAGATGTTATTGGAAGTAGTATACATCTCTTAAGCAATTAATTTTCTATTACCCTCTCTGTAGTAGTTTGGAAACAATTATCATAAACCCCTGTGCTTAGGTATAAACAACACATTGTGGATTGTATATTTAGCATACTTTTTACTTATTGTTTTTTTTTTTGTGGCATTAATGTAAACACTAATTTTTATACTTGAATGTTTAATGCTACTTCTTTCTACAATATACAGGTGTTTTATACATTATTTTTGTGTGAAGTAAAATTGCAGTAAGCATTTATTTAATGCATTTAGCTGTCTATCTTAGTATGTACAGGTCAGAAAGTGTGAAGGAAGATTCTAGAGACACAGGTTGTGGGGCATTGCAGGGCTGGGACCTACACTGCTGAAATGTTCAGAAGCTACTCGACCGTCTGGAGGGAATTTTATAAAGCCGAATTGCAGGAATCTATTAGTTGTGCCTCCAGCAGCCTACATTGATCTATCAGTGTACACTTCATTGCTTCTTTTAATCATTTAGATTTTATGAGTCAAGAGAGGAAATGTGTAGTGAAGAAAAGCATCTGTAGGTCTTATATAGACACATTATGTCATCATAATAAACCATTATTTAAAGAAGTATTGAATATTTGCTTCAGGAGCATCAGTATTTATGTTTTTTTATGTGATATGCTTTATGTTTTCCTGGTTGATTGCAATTAGCTAAATCTAAAAATGATCTGTCTTCTTAACAGACTCCTGAAAAGGCCAAGCCCAGAAGTACACCCCCAAAGTAAGTCTGTTCCCTTTGTTTACTTTCTGGATGAAAATGTAGCATTTCTGACATTTCACTTTAGCAAAGAAGAGACGTTCTGTTTTAACCATACAGTATAAAACCCAGTTACAGTTGTGGATCACAGGACAATAATTAGCTACATTTTCAAGCTACAGGCCACACAAAAGACAGTGATATGGCAGAAACTATTTTTCCCACAAATGTCATCTTCATTGGACTTAATTATTTCCCACATATATATGGTAACTTGATAGAGTGGGTCTAGAATTAAGATTATTTTAGAAGAGCATAAAATATCCATAAGTGGAGACTAAAAATAGACAACGCAACAGTATACTACACTGGACATTATTTATTTCTTGAATTAGGCTTCTGATTTTTGGGGGATTTTACGACATAAAACATCAATCTGTAGTTTATACTAGTGTTGACTGGATTCTCACGCTTGCCTAAGTCTCTCCATTTCACAGACCCTTGGACTGAAATTGAATGGTTGTATGAGGATGCTTTCTAAATAATTTTGATGACTTTTATAATAAAAAGTGTGTAATTCATGTAACATGACCATTAATAAGCTCTGGGATCCATGGCCAGCAACCCTTTTCCCATTAAGGGAATCTGAAACTGTAATACTGGCCACTGCTCAATGGCAGACAGCAGGCGGGCTCATTGAAGGGCAGTCAGTCAGGGCTCTGTATGGTATGTTCAGTGTTCACATCTCCCCACACACCACAGGGAAAATAGTTGCTGAGTCAGACAGTACCTAAGCTCTAAAAGCTGCAGTCTAACAGGTCCGTAGTCTTCTGCAGGACAACAGCGCAGACTTAATTTTGTCAAAACCTTAGTAAATAAAATGTTTGAGAATCTGTTGCTGGTGCTGATCAAGAGTGTAGCTGATTTTAAAACACCTTTTATTAATTTCTTAAAGTTTAAAATTCTTATTCACAAGTTACTTACTAAAAGGAATGCACACATAATAGGATACAAGATCGTTCCAAGTGGATAGTAATCAGTTCTCTGAACTAGTAATATGTTGTTGATTCCACTCTTGTATTTTTATGGCAGATAGACTGAGATAGACATTTAAGATATGGCAAGTGTAGGACATTGAGCAAATTCAAAAATTATATTATTTACACATTTACATTTCATGTCTTTAAAATGCTGTACTTAACATTCAAAGTCAGGGTATTATAGATACCCTAACCAACGACAGAATCTTACACTGCTTGTCTACAGTGATCTCTGTACTCCAGTGTTTTTGGGTGAAGCACGTTTGCAATGTATATTCATCTACTCTGTAATTTAGATGAGAGTTCAGCCTTTTTTTCAATAGTGTGTCTGTCTTGGTGCCTTCATGTAATTAAAATGTATGGGCTAAAGGGATCACTACTGTATTTTGCAGTCAACACTGCTTGTGTGGAGCTGAGCTGTAGCAGCTGAATGAACGCATTATAACCTAGCCTACAGATCAGCCTGGAGGTACAGTACACACTGCTTCCAAACTCCTGCAGCACACACTGAGTAAATAGGTGTCAACAGGCTATCTTATCTCTGTAAACACTGGAGGTGTTATCCAGCAGAAAAATACCAAAGGTAAAGTAAATGTCCCAACTACATGCTCATTCTTATTAAGGTGCACTTCCAGATCAGTTTAAGATGGAATTTAGAAGAATGGAGTTAGTACTAGTAATTGTGAAGCCATACTCAAGGAATGCATTAAGAATGTGAAACAAAAAGGTTTATGTTATTATATGCAACATATTACATGCATTGTTAAAATGCGTTTAACTTACTAACGTGATATTAATTGCAAATGTGAATACCATTTGCCTAAAGGTCACACACATCCTTATAGATTATAGCAAATTTAAGTGCTATTGATATGTATTTGAAGGGAATAAAACAGAAACTAAGAGAAATTTCTGCTCATAATCTGCTCCTTTATGATTTAGTGTTATAGATCTTTTTACTTATCTACAAATATCAGAAAATACAAATAAAAATGTTTATTTGTCTTTATGATTAATTTAATATGTTCTAAGAGTTCAAATATTAATAGAATTTAAGCATATGCATGTTATAATCATTTTTACTTAAAGAGGACATCAACATTGGAGACATTTATTGAGATAATGTTAAGGCTGATCTGATGGTAATATATTTCTTCATAATAATGACCTTATGTACAGTAGGCAATGCTTTTGACTTACATTGGGAAAACAAGAATGTGAAGTACTGTGAAAGCTGACCTGTTTCAGAGTTTGGCTAATTTTTATAAGAGTTTGTTTTTCTTTGCTTTCATTCAAAATAACAGAGACCTATGGGCTTAGGAGCTCAAGAGTGTGAACCCAGAATTGCTCTCCTTCTCCTCCTATGTTTATGGAGAACCTTCTGTGTGTTTATTTTCTCTATCCCATGCCAAAGAGTGAAGTCATAGCTGAGGGGAGGAAAGTGACTTTATCTCATCAACCTTTTAAATAGATTTTTTTTAATTAAACCTCTGCCCAGTTAAATGTCCACTTTTGTGGAAATGTCCAGGATTCCCTTTCTTCATACTTAGAAAATATGTCATTCCTAAGGAATGTAAGAACCACCATTAAAACAAACATCATAATACAATGATTTTTCTTTGAATGTTATGCTACAACAATTAAATTGCTCAGTTTATTGATTTGATGTAGCTCATGTAAAATGTCTCCTTAGGTCGTTGGTAGTGTGTTAACGGTAGGGTGTTGATCATGATGGGGTATCCTAGATTTTATCCCAGAAGAGATTTGTTTGCCTCAGTACTGCAGAGACTCCTTAACCAAGAATTGTTTGATGATTTACCAGAGGTTAATTCTGCACTGAAAGGTGTACAGTGGCTACACAGACACATACTCAGAGTTTTGACAAAAAAAAATATTTTACTTCCCTTTTACTCTTCACTGTTCCTGTAGTGTAATCTTCAGTATTTAAACATTTATGTACTTAAATATTGTTTCTTTTGATTGTTTTTCTAGGAAACTACATACATTGTTATGTAGATACCAAAGTACGTCTTGTTATGGCATTTCTGAGTTTTGTTGAAGTATTGGGCCTGATATGTTTTTGTTGGATTTTAAGGGTTTTTTTAAGACAAATTAGCCTTGAATAAGAAAGAGGCAAGAAGCTAAATTTTAAGAAGGTGTGAAAATATGTTATTGTTTTTCACTTGCGTTTGTAAATGTGGAAGTGCTGCTGCAGATCTCAATCTGTGCAGCCAGCCAAGCAGCAAATGCATTAGCAGCTATTCTGGCAAGAGAAAAGGAAAAACTGTATTAGAAAAAATACTTTCTCTAGTTCTTTTTTGCTTTTTGGGCATGGATGTTGTGTTAGTTCACCTAACACTAGCTTGCAGGTGAGTAATCAAATAACAGTATAAAGGGTTTATTAATGATGACAGTGAGAGAAGTCAGCTCAATTATGCCTTTATGGCTTACTAACAGACAATTTTCCATTGTAATACAGGACACACACACAAACACACATATCCTTAAAAATGTAAATTGTGTTTATTTCTGGCAAGGTAATTATCATATCGAGGAAAGCACTGTGTCGGGGGATAATTACAATACCTGTTTGGTGTGCTGCAGGCTGGATGCATCCCTGTAACACAGGCAGGCAAGATTTAATTACTTCTATGTGTGGTTAACCATGGAAGCCTCAGGCAGTTTTATGCATTAGGATGTAATTGGCTGAGTGCAAGGTACTGTAGCAACATATTTAATAGCCTGATAACTGAACTGTAATCTTGCCAAGAAAACAAATTCAGCAGTGGGAGTTTGAGTTTTTGGTTTGTCAGCACATCTGACCCTGCAGTTGAAAATCATTACCCCTCCACTCTTGAGAGTGTATAACTTGCAAGAGTCCTGATAATTAGTAACCTTTAGGTTAGTGAAGATATTCTCTGTTCTTGCTGCATCATCCTTGGCAAAGTATGTCTATCATGAGGAAGACAACTATCTCCCCTAAAAAATTCGGTGGAATTGTGATTGAAAAGTCTGCAGTCATTTTTCTGATCTTATCAAGTTGTGATAACCAAAAGAGTACTAGCACTCACAAGCACAGTTACAATATCTTGGAAGAAGTATTTTGCACTGTGAGAGGAGAATGCGTTTTTTTTCCAAGCTTTCAATCTAATAAGTAAGTGCTGTTCTTTGAATTTATGGTCATTCTGCCTAGAAGGTCCACAAAATGATTTTTAATATAATGTTTATACAGTTTATCTTCTGTTGTCCTGAAATATGATGATGGTTTAATATGTAAGGTGTTCTTTTGCATAATAAACAGAAGAATCCTCCTAATCAGTGTTTTATTCGATGTCTAAACCGTATTACATCTAAGACTTGGCAGGGTTTTTCATGGAACATCTGCTATACAAACTTGATACTATGTGTCAATGCTATGGAGCCACATGCTCCAGAGGTGTCTGATACTCTTTTGATGTGGATGTGGACACAGCTCAATTCATTTTTGAAGTCCTAAGAGAAAGAAAAGGAAAATGTTTTCGTCTTCTTTACTGAGAGGACGTTGATTGTTGTGACACGTTTTCCATAACAATATGAACCAAATCAGTTTGCGCTTCCTTCAGATGACCATGTCCCTGTGGAAGGAAAAGACTGCACACCATCCTTGATCAATACAAGTCATATAAAAATAACTTCTCTTACAAATCAACTCTGTCAGTGTCTATTGATTGAACAATTGAATGCTAGCCTCTGCAATTGGGGAAGAAAAAACTTTACATGATGTTAAAAAGTACAATAAAATAATGGTAGACATTCTTTATTCCTAACACAAATAGTTTAGCTCTTATTGTCACAGTGATAGCTGTATACAGTGCCCTCTCAAAGTACTGGGACAGCAAGGTCTAAACTGCTATTTTTGTTTTACATTGAGGTACAGTAATTTCTATTTGCAATCAGTAGACTAATACAGATAATACATACCATATACAGTAATATGTATGGTAC